GTATGTAAGAAAAAAGAAAGAAAAGTGAAGAGAGGGAAAAAAAAAAGGAAAGGATGGAAAGGGAAAAGGGAAGGAAGGGAAAAAGAAGAAAAAAAAAAAGAAAGAAAAGAAAGGAGAGAAAGAAAAAAAGAAAGAAAGAAAGAAAGAGAAGAGGAGGAGGGGAGAAGAAGATAATAAAATAGAATAAAAAATAAAAGGAGTAAAGATTATTATTATGTTGGTAATTATATTATATTGATAAAAAAAATAATAAATAATATAATAATGAAAATAAAATTTTAGTAAAAAATATTTATATTTATTTTTTTTGTTTTTTAGATAAGCCATGGAGGTGGTGATTGCAAAGATAATTGTTTTGTTATGTTTTATTTAATTTATTACTAATATAAATATATTGTTATATTATATATATTGATGTGAAATATGTGTTGTTTTGTTGTTATTATTATTATTATTACTACTACTAACAAACCGTCCCCTGTCACACATTGCTGTGGCCCAGATTGTGTATATGTGTTATTATTATTATTATTATTACTACTACTACTACTACTAGCCGTCCCCTGCCATGCATTGCTGTAGCCCAGTCTCTGTATATGTGTTGTTGTTATTATTATTACTACTACTACAACTAACCGTCCCCTGTCACACATTGCTGTGGCCCAGATTGTGTATATGTGTTACTATTATTATTATTATTACTACTACTACTACTACTAGCCGTACCCTGCCATGCATTGGTGTAGCCCAGTCTCTGTATATTTGTTGTTATTATTATTACTACTACTACAACTAACCGTCTTCTGTCACACATTGCTGTGGCCCAAATTGTGTATATGTGTTAATATTATTATTATTATTATTATTACTAGCCATCCCCTGCCACGCATTGCTGTGGCCCAGATTGTGTATATGTGTTATTATTATTATTATTATTATTATTATTACTAGCCGTCCCCTGCCACACATTGCTGTGGCCCAGATTGTGTATAAGTGTTGTTATTGTTGTTGTTATTATTTTTACTAGCCGTCCCCTGCCACGCATTGCTGTGGCCCAGATTGTGTATATGTGTTATTATTATTATTATTATTACTAGCCATCCCCTGCCACACATTGCTGTGGCCCAGATTGCGTATATGTGTTGTTGTTGTTGTTATTAATATTATTATTATTATTACTATTATTATTACTAGCTGTCCCCTGTCACGCATTGCTGTGGCCCAGATTGTGTATATGTGTTATTATTATTATTATTATTATTATTATTATTATTATTATTATTACTAGCCATCCCCTGCCACAGATTGCGTATATGTGTTGTTGTTGTTGTTGTTGTTGTTGTTATTATTATTATTATTACTATTATTATTACTAGCCGTCCCCTGCCACGCATTGCTGTGGCCCAGATTGTTATTATTATTATTATTATTACTATTATTATTACTAGCTGTCCCCTGTCACGCATTGCTGTGGCCCAGATTGTGTATATGTGTTATTATTATTATTATTATTATTATTACTAGCCATCTCCTGCCACGCATTGCTGTGGCCCAAATTGTGTATATGTGTTGTTGTTGTTGTTGTTATTATTATTATTATATTATTATTATTATTAATATTATTATTAATAATATAATAATATATTATTATTATTATTATTATTAGCCGTCCCCTGACACACATTGCTGTGGCCCAGTCTGTGCATACGTATTGTTGTTCTTGCTATTATTACTACTACTAGCCATCCCCTGGCACGCATTGCTGTGGCCCAGTCTGTGTATATGTGTTGTTACTACTACTACTATATTCGTATTATTATATATAATTATTATATATTATTATAAACATAGTTGAAGCAGGAATCCTTTCTCCCAACAGAGGGACTCGTTTCCCTCCGCCCCTCTCCCCCCACCTGCCCTTTGACCCCTCACCTCATTGGAGGAGAGCGGCTGTGTGTAGGGGGCACCGGGGGCGGTGGTGACCTCGCTCATGCGCAACATCGTCCGCACAATTTCACTGCTGGTCTGTCCAGAGAAAAGAAGGAGAGATGGGACTATTCACTGGGATCCATAGTTTTGGAGAGGAATCGTACTGCAGACGCGCAATTGCGTCACGCGTGCCCTGATAGAGGATTCTCCCCTTGGAAATGACACATCAGAGGAAAGGCTGTTCTTTAAACTCTCTAAAGAAAAGACCTGGTCCATCCTGTTGGCCACGGCACTGACGATAGCTTGGTCCCGGAAGTGTTGGTGGAAGCGGTCCAGGTTGACCTGCCAGTAGATAACTTCCTCAGGTGCAGGTGCAGGAGTCTGGATGTTATGGGAGAGAGAGAGAGAGCAGAAAACAGACCTGCCATTCATATTGGGCTGGCAAAATAATAATAATAATAATAATAATAATAATAATAATAATAATAATAATAATAATAATAATAATAGGAATCTGCCATGGCAATCAACATAATAACATCATCACCATCATCATCATCACCATTTCGCACCGGAAATCTCACATAGAATCATAGAATCATAGAATCAAAGAGTTGGAAGAGACCTCATGGGCCATCCAGTCCAATATTCCTGCCAAGAAGCAGGAATATTGCATTCAAATCACCCCTGACAGATGGCCATCCAGCCTCTGTTTAAAAGCTTCCAAAGAAGGAGCCTCCATCACACTCTGGGGCAGAGAGTTCCACTGCTGAACGGCTCTCGCAGTCAG